ATCGGGGACGGTACTAGCTGCCGCGTGGTGTACCGGCCGCTTTTATCGCGGATCAGAGACGATTTAGCAGACAAGTTTTGAGTCTTCGGAGAACATTCGAGATACGGGTTTTTGTCGTAGTACAAAGCAAAATTCTTCTTTGTGCGGGGCCATTCCTTTTCTCTTGCTGTAGGTTCTTAACGTTTCCGAAGTTGGAACCATCGCATAGGATTTTATTCTGAATTAAAGAGTTACTTTGTGTCATTAAAATAAATTATTAATTCTGTTACAGGAGGAGATGCTAAAACAGAACAAAAGCCTGGTGAGAAAAAGAGGGGAGTGAAGAGACCACGTGAAGACCATGGCCGTGGATATTTTGAATACATCGAGGAAAATAAGTACAGCAGGTAAATAGACTTGATGCCAGACAGCATTTTGTGAATGAGAAGTAAGGTATAAAAAGGCTTATTTTAACAGTGTGAAAATACATATAGCATTAAGATCTTTTGGTTTTGTTTTGTTTAGGGCCAAGTCCCCTCAGCCACCTGTTGAAGAAGAAGATGAACATTTTGATGACACAGTGGTTTGTCTTGATACTTGTGAGTAAATGTGCTTTCCTTTGCTTTGGAAAGATGTGGTGTTACACTTTTCATCTTAAAACCATGCTTTCTGAAATGTGGGGTGAATACATTTGTTGACTTTCATTACCAAGTAACTTTAAAAAAAAAAAAATCAGAAATGGTGTTTCCACCCATTTTCAGTATACAGAAGCACAGAAGGATATATAGGTCTTTTCATTAGCAGTAATAAGCTTGGGTTTCACATGAAGTCTGCAATACCATACAGTTTTCTGGAGAAATCTTAACCAAAACACTAATATAGTATGGAAACTAAGCAGGCCACATGTAGAGTGAGCTTAGAACGCCCTAGAACAGCTTGAGAAACTGATGACATAGCACATGAGCTTTTCACTTCAAATTCTGAGAGGCAGTAGGGTAGGTGGTTAAAGTTTAGTATGATCTGTGAAGTGAGCTTCCAGCATAACATGCTGAGGCCCTATTTATGTACCAACCAGTGGAGTCCTTTTTTATGTTTTCTGATAAACTTAACAAAAAAAATCCAGTAAGGCCTTCTGAAAAATGACCAGTTCATGCAACCTGGGAGCTTGCAGCGTGGGGGGGTGATTTGTGCAAATGGGATGGCAGAGAGAATTGGTCAGAAGGGCATGGAAATTGGCAAGCACCTACAAACAGCAGGGGGTTTTCTTGAGGCAGATTATAAACGTTACTGTTACTGTGATGTGCTGTGACTGGAGCAAATTCGACATTTGTGTTCTTGAGGGTAAGTATTAGGACTTGGCTCAGTATTAAAAACTTAAGTAAGTGACACTTGAACTTCTTGGATTCTTAAAGTGCCATGGAAGGAAAGCTTAAATTTTGGCATTATCTGACATATTTGCTAGTAGTTCTGGGTGTATTTTTCCCGAGAAATGTTTTGAAGTGGAAGGAGGTATTGGTTTACAAGCCATGTAAATTGCTGAATGTGCCATCATGACATTTTGTTAACTAAATCTCAAGTTTCTAGCTGCTGAGCTGGTGAGTAGCCACCTTTGTGGGAATTTCTGATTTTCCCAATAACCGAGTAGTAGTAGTAGCGTTATTATTATTTCTAGTAGAAAGTGTGGTTACTGGACAAACTTTGTGATTTAGCTTAAAGTGTCGACAGACTGCTTGGAGATCAGAATCAGACAGCTTTAAGACTGAATTGTGTAACAACTTGGCACTTTCTTTTCTGGACCATAATGATCCAGACATATAAGAGGTTTAGCACTCTTAAAGGGCTTTTTATTACCTCTGTCTTACAAGGAAGCTGTAACTTCAAATTCCGTTCTGATTTGTTGTTCTAAAAGTAACCTGCACTGGTAGGTTTCTTCTGTATGACTTCATCTGGTTTTCACGCAACAAATAAAAGGTAGAAATACTAAGGAGAGAACACTTGGATCACAAATACTGCAGTTGCAGCTGCGGATGGCTTTATGCAAACAAAACAAGATCTCATGCATGAGAGTTACCAGTAATACAGGGAAGGCTGCATTTTAGCATGCTCTGGCAGCATGCAGCTTTTATACCAGGGCAGAAGAACTGTGACTGCTTGCTGATTTTGCTCCTTTCTTGTAACTGTCAAATAGGTTTGGAGTTTCTTCAATGGATTCCTTGCTCTGGGGAATTCCAAGTGCTGTATCTTGCACCTCATGTTACGATTTTGCATTGTCTTTTTGAAACCTACTAGAAGATTAATTTGAAACTTCGTGGTGGTGCTGCAGCTCTGAAGATGTCTGTAAAACAAAGGTTCCACTTAAGTTCTTAGAGTGATAGGTGAATTCACAGTGCAGATTGTGTTACTTACATGAAGCAGGTTCTCACCACATTCTGCATGCTTAACATACCTGCATTTGACTTAACTGACTTAATTTTAATTGGCTTAATCTAATTGGACTTGCTACATGACTACATTAACCAAAGGCAGTACTACTTTCAGTACTTAAACAAAAATACTTGTGTTCCTATTTACTTCTTAGCTGCCCTTAAGTTTAGGCATGAAGGGTAAGAAGAAGTCAAAAAAAGGTATCTAGCAAATAATGCAGAGAGCATGATGTAGATTCCTTTGCTCTATGTTGATGGAAATATCTCAGGTAACTGACCAAAAAGGTTCAAATAGATGAGATGAAATTCAAGTTTTTAAGCAGGTGGAAAAATAGAGGGAGCTTGACAGAAGTGAAGATGGCACCTTGAAAATTATTCGTGTTAGCTAGATTTTCATAACATTCTTGGCTGCCCTTCAGCCTGCAGCTCTATCTAGGCATGTGTTCAGTTACTTTCTTGAAAGATGCTGACCACTTACTGGCACTTTGTCTTGAAAATCACCTTTGAAAGCTGAAATCACCTTTAATGCATAAAATTGGACAGCTGTACTTTATTTTGTAATAAGAGTAAACAGACTGATTTTTATATTGACAGATAACTGTGACCTGCATTTTAAAATCTCAAGAGACCGGTTTAGTGCTTCCTCTCTGACCATGGAAAGCTTTGCTTTCCTTTGGGCTGGGGGGAGAGCCTCCTATGGAGTTTCTAAAGGCAAAGTCTGCTTTGAGATGAAGGTGAGTTAAACTGATGTTTTATGGGAGACAGTTTTGCATGCTTAAATGTAATATTGTTTATACTTGTCAAGTTTTTTTTACCTAGTTGAAACTAATTCAGGTGAACAGAATTTTCAGAAGGCCTTCTCTTACAAGCCTGTGAAATGCTTCTTAATAAAAGATGGCTCAATTTGCTGAACGGCTTCCTCTTTCTAGAATAACTTCTATTTAACAACAAAAAAAAAAAGGCAGCTTGCATTTGCCCTGAATGTGTAACTTTGGTCTCATTTTTGAACCAAGAATTTGATTTGGCACCTCATGCATCAACACTTGAAGAATTTTGATACTTGCTAGTCAGAAGTTTGTTTGTACTTTCTGAAGATTACAGAAAGCTTGGGGTTTTTTTTTAGAAAGGGATGTAAATTATCCTGGCAGAGTTTGACCTGTTCTAAGCAGGGATTTGGTCTAGGTGACTTCCAGCGGTCCCTTCCAACCTGAGTGATTCTCACTTATGGATGCGGTGAATGTTAGTATTTAGCAGGTACTTAAATTTTGAAAGCAAGAGTTCTAAAGGGTAAGAATGGCAAAAAGCCATCAGCCTGGTAATCAAGAGATTTCTCCAACTTGTTGGTGAAAGAATAACAGGAGGCACAAAGCTTGATTATTTTTTTTTTTTTTTGACTCTGTAATGTTAAAACCTTTGCATATGATGTGCCTTTGTATATAAATGCTTACTCTGTTCTCTTCCTCTAGTACTTTCAAATCTAACTCCTGCCGCAAGGAATGGGTAGTGATCCCATTATCCATGCTCTTGCACTGAGTGATTTCTCTGTCTGTTGGTACCTGTAACTTTGGAAGGCCAATGGAGTGAAATTGATGTCAGTATTTATTGCCCTGTTCACTTTCAAATCAGTTTCACCTTGGTCACCTGACTCCAATAGTTGTGGAAACTGGTAGGATACTGATCAGTTTTTCACATTAGTTTGGTGAAATTTGTAAAGGCAGTTAGAAAATAGCTGGTTGCCTACAGGCTCCAGTGCTTCTAGGTATTTTTTTTTTTTTTGAATCTGGTTATGTTGTTTGGAAGCTGGCAACTTGCCCAGGAAGTCTGCTAACTGTGGAAAGGGATGAGTGTAATATTTTCCCCAGTCTATGTAAAGCAATTTCTTTCAAATCCATTACCACATTTTATTGGCAAAGTAATTGACTGCTAATCCTAACTTTATGGTGATTATTTTTTAAAAATATGTATACATCTTGTTTGTAACTTCAGTATCAGAAGGATTAAGGCTTTTGGCCACTAAAAGGGACTGCTATGACTAAGTGCTTTGAATCTATGTGGTGTTTTGCACCTTCATTGCTCAGTCAGGAGATGACTATTTAGTGATTGGCTTGTGATTTCACATACTTAAGCATGTTTTATTTTTGCAGAAGGTAATTACTCAGACTTAGCAAAGATTTAACCGGAGTGTAAAGGTTCCAGATACTACCTTTTTGTTTCCATCTTGTCGGTGTCTAATAAGTACTACATATCTGTTAATGAATAATTTAAAAATAGGTTACAGAAAAGATTCCTGTTAAACACCTGTACACAAAAGACATTGACATACATGAAGTGCGAGTTGGCTGGTCACTGAACACAAGTGGAATGTTGCTTGGTAAGACTTAAACTTTGTGTTATTTATTGTGTAAGTGGTTGAAGTTTTAAATCATTTTTTTTTCTTAAGCAGATGGGAAAAGCTTAGTGATTGTAGTCCATCTGTTCTGAAAAGCGGTCTTAACTCGAATCTTTCACTGGATATGTTGTGAGAAAACTTATTACTGGGACCAAATAAAGCAATTAAGTATTCAGGCTTGTAAGGATTACATGGTTTGAGAGTTAATTCTTTAAGTAGTCAAGTATGGGTTGTGGAGGCCATTCTTGGAAGACCTGACAAGATTTAAGATTTGTCCTTTTCATGTAGTGTCATAAATAGGGAGAGGGATTCCCCTCCCCCCCCCCCCCCTTTTTTCTTCACTGGTTAAATCTCATACCATATGCCACCCTTTAAAAAAAAAAATGAAAAAAAATCCTGGATAAGTACATTATCATTCTTTTGGCTTGGGGAGAGATTCCTCATTTCTGAAAGTACAACTTCATTGGATACATAACTGATCATAATGATATTTAATACCTGCTGCTGAGACACATTTTTGTGGGAAATGTGTATGAATTGGTGTGTTCTGACAGCAGCTTTCTAGTTAAGTACTGAGTTCCACCTGAATGCTTGTGTTTGACACTTCCTGTTAGCTTGTTCCTTGCAGCTTCATCTTCAGCTGTTGCATAGGCTGAATGTCTGCTAAACTCCCTTTAAAATGGGGAGGGGTAAGTGCTACTGGAGGCTAAATTCAGAAAGCTGTTCTGACTAACTACATTACAGGTATACTGGTGCATAATCAGGTCTTCAGAGTTTAAATATACTTGGTCATGTCTTTTATCTGGTAGTTCAGCTTTATCTCAACACGAATCTGGGAACAGCAGAATAAGGCTCTTAAAACTGGGATGGGGGAAACACTGCTGTTACATCTCAAGTGAGAGTACAGCGTTCTTGAATACAAGAACAAGTTGTAGCTGTTTGGGGGTCATAGCTTGTTTTGACATTAATAAAAACATTTTGAACAGCAGCTTACTTAAGTAGCTGTAAGGAGATTGTATTTCTAAAAGGTTAGGTGAAAATGCCTGTTTTTAATAAGGTTAAATTATTTCTTCAGGTGAAGAAGAATTTTCTTATGGGTATTCTCTGAAAGGAATAAAGACATGCAATTGTGAGACTGAAGACTTTGGTGAGAAGTTTGATGAAAATGATGTGATTGGATGTTTTGCTGTAAGTTTTCACTTGTATTTTTTTTCTGAGGAAAAACATCCTTGAATTTTTAGATTGCTTTGATGTGAGAAGCAGTAAACCAAATACAGAAACACTTGGAGCAAGACAAGTTGTTTAACATAGGGAGGAAGCAGAAATAGCAGGTATTATCAACCATGACTGCTGTGAACATGTTACGATTTCATATGCACAGACAAATATCTTTAAAGCTTTTTAAAAAATCAAATCTTAAATGAGATGATAATTGATGGTAACTCATTTTAAGAGACAGCTTTTAAGTAGTTCCTTTATGATAACAAAATTTTGAGCGAATATAGCCAATATAGTGAAATGACTACTATAACTCTGTAGAGCGAAGTGAGTAACTTTATCCAAACTAACACTTTGTTTGAAAACCAGAATTTTGATGGAGATGAAGTGGAACTCTCATATTCCAAGAACGGACAAGAGCTTGGTGTTGCATTCAAAATAAGTAAGGAAGTTCTTGATGGGCGGCCACTCTTCCCACATGTTCTCTGCCATAACTGTGCAGTTGAGTTCAACTTTGGTCAGAAGGAGGAACCTTACTTTCCTGTTCCTGAAGAGTATACCTTCATCCAGAAGGTCCCCCTGGAGGATAGGGTCCGAGGACCAAAGGGACCTGAGCAAAAGAAAGATTGTGAGGTAAGTTTCTTGTTGATAATCTCAGAGTTGTTGAGATAGATGAACAGAAGTGGTAAGAGTTTAAGCAGACTGTTGTACAACTCTGACCTTTTTGTTTGGGGGCCTTAATACTTGGTATCCTGTGACTCTTCACAACCCCCCCTCCCCTGACATCCTCACACCCCCCACTCAGTTTCCATTAGGCTTGATGGTCTAAGTTGCATATTAAAGAAAGTCTTCGAACTAGTATCTCAAGTATAGGACCTGTCGTCATAGGTGGTGATGATGATTGGCTTGCCTGGAGCTGGCAAGACTACATGGGTTACCAAACACGCAGCAGCAAATCCTGGGAAATACAACATTCTTGGGACAAATACTATTATGGACAAAATGATGGTAAGTGATAATACGACATTTTACTTGCTGATACGTTAAAAGACTTGCTGTAAATCCAAGGTCTTTGGCTGCCGTAGTGTTCTTTTGTATCAAAGAAATCTAAGGAACTGGCTACTGGGTAGCTAGTGATCATTAAAGATTTTTGTCTTGCTAAGCTGCTACTCATACATGGCACAGCAGGACTCTGAAGCTTTTTGTGGTACCATATAAGAAACAGTCAACTGTTGCTGATTGTTAAAGTATTTCTATTTCTCACTGTCCTCAGAGTAGAACATTCAGCTTTGAGTTAGTAATGGGATGAGTATACCTTAGATTCAGCTATATCACTTCACCTAGACTCTTTGTTTATAAAGCTCTATGCCTGATGGAGCCTTTGGGAATTTCAGTTACAAGTTTGTAGCCATGGCATTGAATTGAACAATGCTTGAAGCGAGGCAGAAAGCATTTAGCAAGGAAAAATGTCAGCCATGTGTATCAGGGCTACTTTAACTCTGGAAAATCTCTCCATAGGTTGCAGGTTTTAAGCGGCAAATGGCGGACACTGGAAAACTTAACACACTGTTGCAGAGAGCTCCCCAGTGTCTTGGAAAGTTCATTGAGATTGCAGCTCGTAAGAAGCGGAATTTCATTTTGGATCAGGTAGAAGCTTCAGTGAAAAATGGTTAAAGAAATTTGTTATAGGCTGTAGTGCAGTAATTAAATGGGATTAAAGTTACATTGTAATAGCAGTTGTTTCACTTACTGACTTACTACTCATTCAGGGGACACAAAGTTGAGATGTTACTACAAATGCTTGTCTGAACTTCTCTGGATGTATGGGATGTGGGAGGAATAGTGTTTTAACACTTGGATATGAGCTCGTAACTTTGCATTATGCAGCATCTTTATGTCCAGTTATTTGTAAACTTCATTGCAAGCTCTTGTAGAGGTGAAGTCTATACACCATAAGTTGACTTCCTTAACTCTTACAATGACAGCTACGTGTAGTAAGTTACTGCATTTTTTTCAGACAAATGTGTCTGCAGCTGCGCAGAGGAGAAAAATGTGCCTGTTTGCAGGCTTCCAGCGCAAAGCAGTTGTTGTTTGCCCAAAAGATGAAGACTACAAGCAAAGAACACAAAAGAAGGCAGAGGTGGAGGGAAAAGATCTTCCAGAGCATGCAGTTCTCAAAATGAAAGGCATGGAACATAATCCTATACTGTGTTTTAGGATGCTGAGTATCTGTTTAAAGGATTAAGTAAACGTGAAGTCTAAAAAATCACTTTATCTTAAACAGTTGTACTTAAACAAAACTGGAAGACTATTGTAACTCATAGGATAACACTATATTGTGTTCCCTCTGCTGCAGTCCTTAACACTACTCAGTTATGCTGATATGCTTCATGCAGATGCACAAAGCTGTCTTGGCATAAAGTGCCCTATATCTATATAAGTGACATATTTGGCAGAAACTGGTATTCTGAATGGAGGCTTATAAAAGAAAAAAAAGATATAGGCAGAATGTTTTCAAGGTTTGGAACAGTACTGGCAACTCCATGAAGACCTGTTTGTTTCTTTTGTCACTGTTATATTTCTTAAATGCTCAAATTATGTAATTTTGTCCCTATGCTGAGGGAATGCAGGGGGTGGGAGGGAGAATGGGAGAAAGGTGGTTAAATTACGGCTTTGATTGTAGCTGAATGTAGATGCTGAATACTCAGTGTTTTTGCAATTATAGGGAACTTCACACTGCCAGAGGTAGCAGAATGTTTTGATGAAATAATCTATGTAGAGTTGCAAAAAGAAGAAGCTCAGAAGCTTTTGGAGCAATATAAAGAAGAAAGTAAGAAGTCTCTTCCTCCGGAAAAGAAACAGAACACTGGCTCAAAGAAGAACAAGAAGAGCAATAAAAATCAATTTAATAGGGGTCAGAGAGGTCGTGGAGGATTCAACATGCGGGGCAACTTCAGAGGAGGAGGTGAGCCCAGAAATAAGCCTGTAAATTTTGGAGGTTACTGCTGTTGTGGAAGAAGAAAAAGTCTCGTAGTACTTGCATTGCAGTTGTTACGTAGTGGTAACCTTGATTTCAGCCTCAGTAAGTTTAATGTATGAGTGCAAAGTTAACTGTCTGACTTTTTAACAGTGAGGATTACACTGTTCATGTGGTTGGAGGCAAAGCTTTGAGTTGTTACGTTAGGTTTGGTGTTCGCTTGTGTACCAGGCTGTATTGGGGGGTTAGCATGTGGTTAAATCACCATTTTTCACTGTGACCAGATGACTTACTCTTTGCATTGACATCTTTTCACTGAATTTGGACGTCTTATTCCTGGACCATCATGATTTTGAACAATAATCTTCATGTAAGAAATACGTAAGACCTAACAATTACTTGATTGAAGTAACTCTCTTCCTGCAGTCCCTGGCAATCGTGGTGGATACAACAGGAGGGGAGGCAACATGCCTCAGCGAGGTGGTGGTGGTGGCGGTGGTGGCGGTGGCAGCAGCGGTGCAATTGGCTACCCATATCCTCGTGGCCCTGTCTTTCCAAGCAGAGGTGGCTACTCAAACAGAGGAAACTATAACAGAGGTGGAATGCCCAACAGGGGAAACTACAACCAGGTGATGCTTTTGAGGGGATTTACTTTGGGTGATGTTGTTTGAAAGGTTTGGGGCTGCGAATAACGACTGAGTTGGTTGTGGTACTGCGCTAACCCCACGCTAAAAAGCCTGGCTTCCTAGTGTGGTGTATGTGCCCAGAGTTCTGAACCTTGCAGAAGTCCTGATGCTGATGTGGGGGTCCCAGGGTTCCACGTTAAGACTGTACTGCTGTTCCGTTAAAGGTGAAGATTTTTAGGGCATGTGTGTGAGGGTTTATCAAGCGTTCAGGGAACTTTCTGGAAATAGAGACCTAAGGGAACAGTCTTTGTTTTGGTGTCTGGTATCAAACTTAACTAGTAAAGACATGCTAGCCTAGGTCTTTACTGGTGGAATATCAGTGGAAGTATTTGAAAACATAATTTGGATTACTGAAGAGCCAGCAGATGGAGCCCAAGCTAGTAAACATGGCTCAGGTTTGTCTAATACTGACAAACAGGGGAAATGCAGTATTTTATCTACTAGTATCAATGTCCCCTCTTTGTACCATAACTTTTATTTGAAGTTTTGTGGACTAGCTCTTCTATTTTCAGTTGTATGACCCATATCCTTTTGTCTGATCAGATAACACATCCTTGTAGCAACTACAGCCTTTCCTAACTAAAAATAAGCAAGCTCTTATATTTTTAGTTGTCCTGGTGCAGTTTAGCAGCTGGAAATAGGGTGAGTCAAAACTGGATTAGCCAGCTTTCCAGAACCCTGGCAACAACAGTTCAAACTGGCTTATTAATTCTGAGGTTCTTGCCCCACATATAAGAGGCAGTTGCTTGGAAGGGGAGGCTTTTAGTATTCTGGTGTTTTCAGGGAGGTTTATTTGTTTATGGGGGTGGGTGTGGGGGTGTGTGTGTGTGTTTGGGGTTTTTTATGTAGGCCTGCCTGATACCTCTAGTATTTGAAAGATTCTGTAGGTTATGTGATGTTTTGATGGTAGTAGAAAGATTGGTATTAGTACACTTCTGAAGAATCTGCACAGATGAAGTAGTTAAAAACTGTTGTCCTCTTGCAGAACTTCAGAGGAAGGGGAAATAATCGTGGCTACAAAAACCAATCTCAGGGCTACAACCAGTGGCAGCAGGGTGTAAGTAGTCATAAACTTCCCTTTTCTCTGATTGTTGACTTGAATGTATCTAAATGCTGTCTGAAATGATTCGATGTGTAATCAAAACCAGATAGCAAACTCTTCTAATGCCAGGTAATATTGCTATAAATAATTTTCTGTGCAAAACTTAATCTGGCTTGATGGTCTCGATGTATCAAATATCAGCTATGGCTTACTGGTCTTAATGGTATGTAGTACTTGGCTTCGCATTACTACTGTGAAGTGAACTTAACTGCCTTCAGTTGTTCAGGAACTTGCTGCTATTTGAGAGGACTTTAATCTTCTCAAGTTCCAGGAGAACTAGATGTTTGTTAAAGACTTTTTTTTTTTTTCTGTAAGAAATGTAACCATTACGTGATTACAGGTTGAAATTAACTATTTATCCATTTATTGCAGCAATTCTGGGGTCAGAAGCCATGGAGTCAGCATTATCACCAAGGATATTATTGAATACCCAAATAAATGAACTGATACATATTTCTCCAAAACCTTCACAAGAAGTCGACTGTTTTCTTTAGTAGGCTAACTTTTTAAACATTCCACAAGAGGAAGTGCCTGCGGGTTCCTTTTTTAGAAGCTTTGTGGGTTGATTTTTTTCTTTTCTTTTTTTGTACATTTTTAATTGCAGTTTTAAAGTGATTCGTAAGAGAACCTCAGCATTGTGCACGATAAGAGAATGTGTCAGTATTTCAGGGTTCTACATTTTATCTGTAAAATGTGACTTTTTTTTTACCACAACAAAAGTAAAACGTTGCTTTGTACCTGGTGTCTTTTTATTAAAGAATTTTCTCCTTTTTCCCCATCCCCCAATTTCTAAGAAACAGTCGTGAGTCATGTCACAATACGATAGAAATGTTAGCAACCAGATTCGTGCGGAGGCTCCTTAGTAGCCCTCGTGAATACCATGAGATCATGTAAAGCTCCATATTACACTCCATCCTCCCTGTGAAGCTTCTGGGTGGGGAGGGGAGGAGCGGGCGGTAAAAGTTTCTGGCAATAACGAGGACTTTTTTTGTAACATTTGGAACTCACTAAGATGCTGGGGGCAAAGAGGAAACCTGGGGCTAAACAGTGAAGGTGGAGTGTATGTAGAAGCTCTTAAAGTTGTAAAACTTGGTTGCGCTATTTGTGGAGGCTCAAACTTGTGAAGGTACAACACCATAATTTCTTTTCCATTTGTTCTGCATTTTGATTCTGAAAAGAAGCTGGCTTTGCCCATTTCTTATTAAACAAAACTTGTTGTAAATCCAGTTGTCTAATGGGATCTATATGAAGTTAGCTGTGTGTCTGTATAACTCTTTCCCCACAAAATACTGTATACCTAGTGTGCTTGTAGTAGTTACTCCACCATTTTGTAAGCTAATGAAACTGTGAGTCACCCATTTTATATCTAATTTTTAATCGTGTCAATTCTCAAATGGGTGTATCTCCTTAGCCTGCTGATTCCTTTTCTCTTTAAAGAAAGTGGGTGGAGAAATTTAACTCTAGACGTTTGTTTGCAATAAAATAAATTCATTTTACTCTTGTTTTGGGATTGTCGCCATCAAGGTCTAAAATCCCTGTAAGGCTAAAAAGAGGAAGAGAATGTATGAAAGCGATGATGTTGGACAGTTTTAAACTCATGACTCTGTACATGCTGAAATACTTGTGTTTCTTTAAAAATCTAAACTGGTGGTTGCTCTGTTAGAGATATATCACGTGTATAAGCTCACAGTTTAACATGGTTATATGTATAGGGCAAAAGTCTTTTGAGTTGCGCTTGCATCATGTAAATCCACTTTATACCTATAACCTATTTATTGTAAAATAGACGTTAGGGAAGGAGCGGGGGAAGAAACTGGACAGGGACTAGGACAGAAGGAGGGTTGTCACAGGGAATGAATCCTGGAGTCAAACAGAGCGCTTCAGCTTGTTTTAACCGCTATTTTGTTTGGATTTACGCTTTTGTAAAACTGTAGTGGCAATGTTAGCTAATAATTTCCTTGCATTTTAATGCCGTAAGACAGGGGAGAGACATAACCGTCGTAAGTCGGACTCGTGGTGTACGTGTGGAAACACCCGGGCGTTGGGATTTGCCTGCTGCCGAGTTCCTGGTGGCAGCGTACAGACTAGCAGAGGCTTAAGCAGCAGCGTAGAGCTAGAGTCGGTGTAGCGTGCTTGAAGCTTTTCTCAAATGTTAGTCGATTTCTAATAGTCTTCAGAAGCAAACTAAAGTTGTGTTGCTCTTCTAGCCTTTATAGCAGATGACGTTGCATATTGACATTAAACATTAACAGCACCACCTCCTTGTTAATATTGCTTTAAATCATCCCTTTACTTTGAATGAGAAAAATGTAAATTGTCTTTAAAGAAACACTCTTTGATGAACTAGAAACGTGGGGAATCTAAACCCTCATCTGTTTTGCTGGAATGGCATTTTCTTTAGACTTGCAAAGAAAAGCTTAGTGTAATTGAAGTCCATCTCCCTTCTACCCTCCTCACAAGAACTAACACTTTGTACGGAGTGCTGATCCTTTGCTTATTTTGGTACTCTATAAAATTATACAGTCTTAAACTGAAATATAAGAGCCTACACTTACTATGTGGTTGTAAAACTTGTATTTTAATTCAAAAGTCTGGGATATTTTGTTATAAATTCTTCAATAGATGGTGTTTGGGGGGAAAAAAAAAAGCCACCCATGAGGGGGAAGTGCTTCAACTGTCTTGCACTTGAAAGAGGAGTATCTGTTTTTACAAAAAATACTCCTGTCTGAAGAAAGCTTTTGTGGTTAAGTCCAGCACGATCTGCTGCCTGTGTTCCCAGGTACAGACCACAAAAAAGGTTCCGACTGCGGCCCGCACCCTTCAGAAGGGCCCGAGGGGAGCCCAAGCCCTTCCCCGCTCTGTCACAGCAGGAGCAGAGCGTGTCGCGCGCGGGAGGCTCTGTGCTCATTCAGCCTGGGGCCGCCCACCAAGGGGAGACGCTCCTCAGTTGCCTCGGCCCTGATTATTCCTAGAGAAGGGATTTATTTTGCCAGGTGAAAAGGGCTCGCGTAGAAAAGCCACTGCCTAGAAAAGGGCTGGTAGTAATCGGCTTAAGTTTGCAGTCTGTGTTTGAAAAAGGGCAATAGAAAACTTAGCTGATGGCTACGGTGAGGTGAGGAAAGCGCAGCTGTAGGTTACCGTCCCTCCCGCGGAGCAACCTCTTGCAGCTTACGAGGACTTGTTTACCGTGCCAGTGCAGATGTGCCAGCGACATCCCGCACAGGGGCTGGGTTTGTCTTTGGGGTTGGGTTTTTTCCTCATGGAGTACAAACTGGGTTTGCTTTTTTCTAACAGCTTTTGGGGGGGTTTTCTATTGGAGTACATACTAATAAAATAAATGATCGGAGTACAAACCTGGGGAGCCTCAGGGCTGGTTGGGTGGCAGTAGGAGGGTGGCACACGGTGTCTGCGCAGCTCCTGGCAGCAGTCGTGGTGGTGGTACCTCTGCTCGCAGCCCTGTCCGCTGAAGCTGCTTGCATCTCTCTCCTTACACCAGGTTGTAGCCACCCTGCGTTGCGTGGTGGGGCCAGGCGTGCTTGGCTGCAGACTGAAGGCGGGTCTGTGCTGGGTATCTTGGGAGGAAGTTCCCACTTAAAAAAAAAAACAAAACACTCCGGTTGTATTTCTGCCTCTGCTAGTAACAGTCGCTGGGGTGCACACAGTGTCAACGGGGGTGCTTCCCCCAGCACCGTGGTGTTGGCGAGGGCTGCATCCTGGGCACTGCAGGGGTAAATGGACTTTGTAAATAGACTCACCTGTGGGACATCGGGGCCTGGCTCCTGTTCTGGGGTGCCCTACGAGATCCCTGTCCCCAAACCCCGCCTCAGCTGACATGAGCTGGCCCTTGGGCGCCACACTGCTCCTGCACTGTGTGGGGAGTACTCAGCAGTGCTGTCACCAGCGTGGGGGAGCTCAGCCTAAGTGGCACGTGTACACAGATTCCTTTCAGCGCCTATTGCAGAATAATTCTTGATCAGCCAAGGTGTTTCTAGAAATTCTGCCCAATTTTTGTGATGGCAGAATAAATTAAAGCTGTCTTCTGGCAATGCCATATGCAGTCCATGCCACTTGCATAAAAAAAAAAAATTTCTTCTTCATGCTGTAAGCCGCTAGGTTTTTATTTTAAATGTCTTGCAACACTCTTGACCAATGGTTTTAATAGAAATAGGTGATGAAGTCATCTTTTAAGATTTAGAGATTTCCTTGTTCATGACCTTTTGGAAAACTAGGCCCGTGCTTTCCACAAGCGCAACCTCAGCCCAAGCCACGAGAAATCAAACAGAGTTAGGGAGAGACGTGAGGTACTTCGGTACTTCTGCAGGCGCTTAAGTGCCAGAGGCTGGACTCTCCCACGCCAAGGAGCGTGCACGCTGTCGCAGTGACCCAGCGAGGTAGGTGTCGGTCCGGCTGGAGCCGCCTCAGCCTGAAGCACTGTGGAGGATGGGGAGAGCCCCAGGATGTCAGAAAAAGCCGCTGAGAGGAAAGCGGAAATAGAGAGGAGCGGCTTTGTAACTCTAGTGTTGCCAAAGTGGCTGCAGTGAAGCCAGAGCAGCGCCTCTCGCCCTCATGCAGAGTTCACCTCACCCTAGACAAAGCCACCCTGCGTAGGTGGAGGGGGCGAGGAGGCCTCTCGCTATTTTAACAGCGGGTCAGTGATCCGTTTTGCGCAGCTTTTCTCCTCTGCTCGGTGACGGAGGGGAGAGCTGCCCCCTCGGGTGCAGTGGGCCTCTCCAGAGCTAGCTGTCACGGGGAACCGACTGAGATCAGGACTTGGCCAGTGGTCGACCTGGATGTGGCTCTTGCCTTAGTTTGTCTGTCTGGCAGAACTGGGAGTGGCAGGAAGATTTCAGCAATGAATCAGTTGCTAATGTAAACTCGGCTGTAGCTTAAAAAAGATGCTAAATGCTTAACACATTGTCAACATTGAAAGAGAAAAAAACAAAGGCAAATGTAAAAAAACTTGCAGTATAATTACCCATGTGGGAGACCTGATAGACAAGTGTTACTTTAGAGCAAGTTTTTTGTTCCCTTTTCTGGTTTAGTAGACAATTTCCAATGTACAGAGTAATTTTGGTCCTAAAAAGTTACTGAAATCGAAACTATGGGTAAGACAGCTCAGCCAATTTTTCCCTCAAACTTTTTCATGCTCAGAAAAATTTTTACAACTTGGCAGCCAAGGGCAGATGCCGTTTACACTAAATAGTGATTCAGGGATCTGCTGCCTGGTTAGCACAAGGATTGAAAGGGCACTCGTTTTTCTCAGTGTTACTTCTCCCTTAGCTGGGCTCAGACGGCTGCTTACGAGAACACCTCTGATAACGTATGTGGCATAAAAATGCCAGCCTGTGTTTTCTGGCCCAAGCGCGGCCCTTGTTTATGTCACACCAGCCTGTGTTAACTCTTCTGCCACTCTCGGCTCTGGAGGATTCCCCCAAGTGCTAACAAAAACTGGTTTGCCTGAAACGTGGGGAGGTCTGTGCTGGCGAGGAGCGCCAAGTTCTGAAATGGTGCTGATGCCCAAGAGAGGTGTAAAGTAAAAAGGCCCAGAATAGCATTAAATTGGTCCCCGGATGTAAATGTGTGTTTAAAATAACCAGTGACTGGTTGTTTAGAAGGTGAGAGATGCAGGAAAAGCTCGATTCTCCTCTTTAGTCTCCCTGTAACCTCTTCAGATG